GCGGAGCATGTGGTTCGCGCTGCCACCGCTAGATCGCAGGGCTAAAAAATGACCCCCCCCAAAAAAAAAAACCTTTTTGAAAATTTCATTGACAGTTGTGGGCGGATTCGCAAAAGAAGGGGGGGGGAAATCATCAGTTCGCCTCCAGGGGACCGAGACACGGCGAGTGACATCTCATTTGATAAGTGATTTTTCTCAGTATAAAATCAGTTATATTTTACTCTTTTTATTATTATTTTCATTGTTATTATTATTGTTATTATTATTATTATTATTACTATTATTATTATTATTGTTGTTGTTGTTGTTAAAAAATCTAGGTACAATTTATCGTCCATTTATTTTTGGGGGTGTAAATTATGGTAGAATGCCATAATTATGGGACAATCTGGCAACTGCCTAATAATTTATACTTATAACAGTTAGAAATTAAGAAAAATAAAATTGTAACAGCCTTTAATAAATGTGACCTTAATTAATGTATTGAATACCTTAAGTAACGATAACAATGTTTTTGACATGATCGAATTTCAAGTGATATAAAGTGAGGGTGTAAAAAATAGTTACTCTAAGTTAATAAAAATGATGGTGATGGTGATGATAATGAACTAGAAAGTAATGATAGCTCATGCTGAGAGAATTAACTTTTTCATCAACAAGGCAATTTTTTAGTTTGTGAGACAATTCGAGATTTTATTTCAACAAAGTAGTAAAAATTGCTTATAATTAGAAAATAAAAATTCTGAGGAGTCCTCTTTAAAATTAGCAGTGTAATGTTGTATTCAAAGATGCATTTATTTGGAAAAATATGGTATTTTAAAACCAGAAATCTTTCGGAACTAAAGTTTATGTTCAATAGAATGTCTCTGTTAGGCAGGCATTGCTGAATTTCAAAAGCCATGCATGACACAATTTCATCCTGTCTTCAGGGTTGTGGCTTTGGCTGCCAGTTGCACCATGCTGTCTATTGCTTCATGGTGGCCTATGGAACAGAGCGTACCTTGATCCTGAAATCATTCGGTTGGAGGTACCACAAAGGAGGTTGGGAGGAGGTCTTTCTGCCCCTTAGCAACACGTGTCGCGATGGAGATGGAGCTACATACGCTCACTGGCCTGGTGAGTATTGGCAGGGGAGTTCGGTACATTTTGTGGGAACAAAATTCTGACATATTTGCAACTTAAAGCAGGAAACATTTGAGGAGAATATAGTATGTTATCGAATATTGAAACATTTTGAGATACAAGTCATTAAACATAATTATGCAGATGTTAATTTTTTAGAAGGTTGAATTTTTCTGAGATAGAGGTTTATTTTAATTGTGCCCAATTAATTAATGCAAATTTATTTTTAAACATTCTAATTTTCAATTAAAGTATCTTAAAACTTGTAAAATTATTTCAAGATCTGTAAATGATTTTCAATAATAAAATGAATTTTAACAAACATCTTGATAAAATATTTAAAATCACATAAAAACTGGAATTTGGGAAGATAAGATCACAAAATGGTAATCAAACATTTCAACACTGGAATTGACAACACACTACTTTCATCTCTCTAAGACCTGAACTAATGCATTCTCAATATAGTCCTAACTTTGCAGTGTATGGTACATATTAAACAACTTACATCAATTCAATAAAACTGTTTCAAATCACACCAAATCTAGATTTTCTTGACCTATTCATTGACCATAGTTGCACTCCTTTTGAATATAATCTCTTGAGATTTGAATAATTAAACTGTTGGTTAAAGTTTATTTCAAGGAATCTATGTGGTATACAAACTTCATTTCTTGAAATCTGTTGCCAACCTAACAATTGTAAGTTTTCATAAGGCAGTTTGCTAACCATATGGGGACTGAGGTCCAGTACAACATTAGCAATGATTTGGGGGAAGTTACTAGAAATTGTGTAAGATAAAAGACATCTTTGAGCCTCATCATGAAATTCAACATGCCTAGCAAATCATCACTGAACCCTACAAGTAATTTATGTTATTAAAGTATGATTTGTAAAGTTTCCACTCTTGGGTATTGTTGAACATGTTTACAAAAAATAAACTAATTCTATTATGTTGACTGAATTAATCCAAACATTACTTTTAAAATCTGAGATTGGTACTGTGGATCAGAGGACAAAAAAAATGGTGTTGATTCCCTGTAATGAAACTATGTCCAAAAATGTTTGTATAAAATATAAAATAATAATTAATATGTAGTGGGGCACATTTGTACCTTAGCTAAATAAGTGTTGGTTCTAAGAATGCTCTGAGAAAACACAGAATTTTGTTCTGACAAGAATGTGGCATATTCCCTAATGTAAACATTTTTTGTAAATACATTCTTTTGTATAAAATTTTTCAGCTCTGATGATGATCGCTATGTGACTGATAAGTTCTTAAGCTATTGCATCTAGAAATCTAAGACATCTAGGAAATACTGTTCCCTAAATAAAAAAATAAGTTCGTAATAATAGATGGAAATAAATCAACAGAGTTTTGTAGGAAAGGTAAACGAGGGAGAAAAAACTTAGAGATGTTGAGGAGTTTTTTCATTAATGCTTTTCATTATTTCATCTTTCTAGGTAAACCGCATACACAAGTAGTCGATCTCCCAATCATAGACTCGTTATCCCCTCGACCACCTTATCTGCCCCTGTCTGTGCCAGCTGACCTAGCACCTCGGCTGTCACGACTGCACGGCAATCCGTTTGTGTGGTGGGTGGGACAGTTCCTCAAATACATGCTGCGGCCACAGACGAGTATCTCGACTCTCCTTCAAGAGTCTGCGCACAAATTGGGTTTTGAGAAGCCAATCGTTGGGTAAGTTAGCACATTGGGTTTTCATAACAAATTATTATTCTTTTTGGTGTTGTTATTACTAGACTTTGAAAAATATGTAATATGAAACATCAAAATATGTAATGACAATGATAAGAATATGATGCAAGTATGTAAAAAGGGATATAATATGTAATATAAAAATACACTCTTATTTATTGAACATTCACAAACAAACAAAATATATTTACCCACTTTGAAATAGCTTTAATTTTATATTTATTAAACCTATTTTTAAAATAATTGTTTGTTCCTCTGGATTTTTTAAGAGTAACATTGTCATCTGTGTCTTAGCAATTTGCACATCCGCGAACAGACAAAGTGGGCGAGGCCTTGCTTTTTCACCCCATTGAACAATACATGGACGTTGTTGGAGAAATACGTGTGGTTTGATTGTCTTGGAGTTACTCTCAGAAAGTTGAAACGCGTCGCATCTGGCATCAGATGACCCTAGAGTCATTGCCGAAACAAAGCGCAAGTAAGTTTCTTCTCATTATAAAACCAAACCCCGGAAAAAAATTAGTAGTAATCCCTTCAACAGTATTAATTATGTTCATTTTGTTGGTTAAAAATGAACTGAATGAAATACTGTCATGTTGAATACGGTTATCAAATGTGTCTTTGGTAAAATCAAGAATGTTAAAAATAGTGGTATGGCAAGATCTGCCTCTTTTAGACCAGAAGGAAAAAAAATTGCAATTGACTCAATGTTGCAGTATTTGCATAAAAATGTGTGTATATTCATCAACTTTGTCTTAAGAGTGTATTAATACTCTGTGTAGTATAAGAGTGTGTAATAACTAATTGTAATTACTTGTTTTAGATATCCGCATTACGAAATACTTGGTGATCCTGTGGTTGCCAAGTCAGCAGCTGTTGCTACAAGATATTCAGACAACTCACTAATGGGAATCATTGTTGACATACATTTTTTGTCTCTCTCTGACTATCTAGTCTGTACTTTTTCATCACAGGTATGTTGGTTTTGTTTGCTATTCCTGGCTTTCTTATTTATTTATTCATTCATTCACATTGGATATACAAAATTTGGTTACATAATGTTTATACAATAAAATAACTAGTTTGTTATTATTAAACAATTCAGTAATACTGAGCCATTCAAGGGTCAATCAAAAACGTTTCCCTGCCTTACAAAAATATCAAAACAATTTTAAAACACTAGATAAAATTATTTGTATGCTTGTTTGTTTGTTTTTTCCTATGAAATCATTTTGTCTTTCTAGGCACTTTTAATTGTGTGAAAAAAGTTCACTAACCAGCTATTAACTATTGTCTTCTATTTTTGATACAGCGAACCTTGGCCTTTTGAGTGTTCAGCTATGGGAAAAAATGACCGTCATTAGAAACAAGAACTGGGGAGTACATAGGGCAACCAAACATTTCCCATTTGAATTGCAAAAGCAACTGCTTCATTTTCTAAACGGAATGTTGGTGTGTGTTGTCATAATTGAGAATCATCTTGATGGGAAATGAGAAAAACGAACAAAAACACAAAAATTGTGAATACTTACTGAAAATATTATATAATTGATTTTAAATTTATTCCTCTAGCAGTTGCATATGTTACTGTGCATACTGTGGTTGATTACATAAGGATACTACATTTATTGAACAATTATTTATATAGGGATTGAAACCTATTTTTGTGATTAAGAACCGGACAGTCGGACAGAAAGTGCTAAAAGATATTTAATAAACAAGTGAAAAAGTTATTTAATGAAAGATCCTTCAGGTCTGTGCACAGGCATTGCTTCCTGCAGTATTTTTTGTATATATTATTTTGAAAATGTATTTAACACAATCTGAATGAATTGAATTGAATTTTTACTAGGAAACGAACATCAGCACCATTTTATTGCTTTGAACCCAGTTGTCTTTTTGCCTTATGAAAAGTCTTGGAAATTGTAATAAGGTATACATTTTTTATCTGTTCAGGTGTGTCGAGTTGCATATGAAATTATGCAGAGTTTGCATCCAGATGCTGCTGACAGATTCCATTCTTTAGATGACATTTATTATTACGGAGGGCAGCTTTCGCACAACCAGGTTGCTATTTACCCACACTCTGCTCAAAGTCCTGGGGAATTGGACCTCAAGGTAAGAGACTGGTAATTTCTCATTAATGCACTGACTAATGAGACCCTAGTCTTTTGACAGGAATTGTTAGTAATTCCTAAAGTGTAATTAAGAGACAAATTAGTTAACATTGAACTGTTGTATCGGTCAAACCTGGTCGAAGTCAAGGATTTTGAAGGTAAAAATAAACATTATTTTTTACTGTTATATTGCTGCTTTGTTAATGTCTTCAATAACTTGCCTGGATTGGAAGAATTGTGGTTACAAAAAGAATATGAAAACAGTTGAACACATATTCTCTTATGGTGGAAATTATGAAAAGATATGAAAAGAAAGAAAACAGAGTCAAGTTAATATCTAGTTATTAAAGGTCCATTGCTGTTTTGCCATTGCTTGATCATTAGAACCCTTATAATGCCCTTAGTACATGAATAACTATTGTACACCTTCCTTTTGAAGGGAAGTAAGACCCTTCTCCCTGTATTGCAGATTGGTGGTATTAAAAAAAAAACAACCTTTGGTTTAAATGATACCTCTGAGCTAAATTCTAGATCTCTTTCTCACTAGGAATATCTAGATTCACTCTTAGATGGCATTGTTATGAATGACCTGTCCTTTCACCACACGGTTGCTTGCACTGTCAAAGGAGTAAAACAAAATCTATGTATGAAAAGGAGATCGATAGATCTTAAACTATAAATACAACACAAAACAAACACAACACTTCTTATCCTACATAGGATGGAAACTTCAGATGACTTCACCTGGAGTACATCACAATCATTTTCAAATTGCAATATATTGTGGATTGGTTCTCTACAGTCCTGGATTTACAACAATCTGTGCTTTATAAGTAAATTGACAAACAACTTTATTCACTGTTGACTAATGTCAAAATCATATTGGAAAAAATTCTACTAGGGAATGACAAGACACCTCTGAATTGCTTTTATATCACAAGCCAGAACCATCTCATTTTGCAATGCTTCTTTATGACTCATTTAGACGTCTTAATGCATTTAATATGGAGACTTCCTTACAAGTTAAAAATAATTTTTTTTATGATTCTATTAAATTAGAGCTTTTAATTGTACTATGTATATGTGAAGTTAGTTATTTCTTAAGTCATTATTAAATACATTTGATTTTGTAGACTGTCCTTGAATACACGTTTTTCGTCAAATACGATTCAGTTAATTCTAAATTATGGTAATGAATTATCTATTACTCCTTATGTCATTTGAAGCTTCAAAATGAATTGAAAGGTGTGACAACATTGTTAAGTCTTTATTGCATGATGACATTACATCACATTCTTAAAAATAATTTTTTCCACAAAGATGGCAAAAGAAGATAGGAAAAACTGTAAAGTTCATGAGTGAAGTGCTAACAAGATAACTTATGATTAAAAAAAGTAAAATTTAATGTTAATTTACGTGATTAAAAAAAGTATTATTTTTTTCAAAATTAGATCTTGAAATGAGGTCGTGTCGTTTTTTTAAAACATGAATAGTTTTTGCATAATTTTTCATCAAATGTAATTTTAAAAAACAGATTGTCTTTAAAAAATTTCCAAATTATTTTCTTGGATAGTGCAACTCATGCTTTTAAAAATTGTGTAGGTTCAGTTTTCATTGAACTCTCTGAATTTTCAAAAATTGCGTAAGTAAATAATGAGAGAAAGTATGTGCTGTTTTAGCTCCACTAGTTGGATGGTAATCTTTCAATAGGAGGGAGTACTACCTGATTATCAATGCTGGAAAGCTGTTAACTGCATTTGATTACTTCCAAGCTTGTTTCTACAAAATTGTTATTCACATTGTCTGAGAGAATTTGTTCTTATATTTTGCAGGTTGGGGATCAAGTTGGAGTCGCTGGCAATCATTGGGATGGATATAGCAAAGGTAAAAATCTCCGAACAGACAAGATCGGGCTGTATCCATCCTTCAAAGTGGTGGACAAAGTGGAAGTTGTGGATTTCCCCACATACTCAGAAGTCCCCCTCAAGAAACCATCCAACAAAGACTCCAAAACTTGAAAAGCTGAACTTGTGATCCACATTACTTTATTTTGTGTCAAGATGTTACCCAGAGAGATGAAGCAATGTTGTCAATGGCTTTAAGAAACTTCAAATGAAGATCAGTCTAGCAAAGAAGAACCAAATGTAAATGTGTGGTTTGTGCTGTTTTGTCAGTGTTAGATGATTTGAGTATTATGTATGTGAGAATGAATGAGGAGGGGAGAAGCTTGTGGAACAAACCACAACTGTGCAGAAGCAATCAATGTAAACTTATTTTTGCTGGAAATTTATTGATTGTTGGCTTGTTATTGTTTTCAGCACTTTTGAGTTTTCATTTCTATTTTTTCATTGTTTAACATACATCAGATTTTTAGAAAGGATATAGATAGAAAGAAAATACACTTAATTGTTTTTTTGTTTGTTGTGTAGTGTACAGATTTTTATGTTTCTATTTCAGTAATTTTTGTTTTTAACAAAACATCAAGTTTTCATTTCTTTCTCCTCAGTAAAAACTTATTACTAAATGTGAAAATTTATATTTCTACCAAATACTGTATATGCATTTATGACAAGATAAACTTAAGTTTTTTAGATAGATCACTGGCAGTTTTTACAGTTTTGTTAGTATTATTTATGTATGTTTTGTAACAAATTTGTTTTGGATGATATATAACAGAACAATCTTCATATTTTTCTGCAAATAATATACAAAAGTAGTGAATGTATATTCTGATGTGCATATTAGGAACAAATGTGTATCATCCTCAACTGAACTATCAAACTTTTCTATGAATGTCTGTGGAAATTTGACAAAGGAACAATATTATAGTATGTGTATATATTTGAATGTATCTTTAAAATATTAAACAGAATATATTTTGTAGTTTGCCATGCTTTTTCTATTTTGGCCTCATTGGAATTTTTGTTCATGAATGATACTAATAATTTGTTTCTTCTCTAATTACATTTTAATTTGAGTATTTTCTATGTTCCTGTGTGTGAATGCTATTTACAAGCAAAAGATTAAAAACATGAATGATTTATTGCCATGTGTTTATGTTTTGGCAATAAATGGCTTTCCCCCCCCCCCCCCTCCTTTTTCACAATATTGTGTGCAACTAAGACCATCAGCTGGTGCTTTCATGTGCTAATAAGAAAATACGTTTTAAAAAATTGATATTTTTGAAGAACAATTTTAGTATCTAAGTTTTATTCAGCAATCGCATAAGAGGGGATGAATTTAATGAAATTGCCTGATTTAAAAAAAGAACTCATTAAGATGTTTTTCTCCCAATTTTTTTATTTTACTTCAAAGGAGATAAATTACATTATGTTGACAGAACATATTTACTTATGTCACTGTCACTGTACTAGAAAGTGGTATTTGCGTACAAATGCAAATACAAAAGTGTGTATATACTCATGGTTGTGTATTCATGTGCTGGTCAACTTTGTTCAGTGTCTTGCTGAATCATCAAAAGAAAAAACATGGAATCCTGATATCGAGATAGAAAAACGTTTTTTGAATATTTTTTTTATGTGGAAAATTTCATTCTTTAAGAAATTGTAAAATGAATGGGATGTTTCCTAAATGAATATTTCAAAGGCTTTTATCTTGTACTTTATTTTGAAGTACGAGCCTAATAAAAGTAGTAGTTATAATATTTGTCACATAGCGTGTGGTTGGTATATATGATATCAATTTTCTATTTAAATTGTATTGCCAATGTTAACAAGCACTTAATTGAAAGGTATTGTTTTATGTTTGTTCAAATATAAATGCTTAACAACTTTGCCTTGCTTAGCAAATTAAAGAATATGAATTGTATTTTAACAATAGTTTTGAAGAGTCCATATGCTATTTAACATGATGAGATTTAACAAAATTGAATTCATTATTTGTCTGTTCATTTAAATTCTAACATTTGACATTAGGTTTTGGTCTTTTGGTTTAATGACGGACAAATTGTAAAACATTAAAAGCACAGAATCTCAACAAATGTTCAGATCAAAAACCATTTATTAAAAGCTGGACAAAAAACTGGTATGTTGTTGCAAAGTTTTGGGAATTAGCATATTCCCATCTTCAGGCAGAAGTGGTGTAAATTACGCAAACAAAAATGTTCTTGAAGGGAGTTTTAAATTGCAGAAAAACTACTTTTTGAGTATGCATTGTGACTGTGTTTCATTTTCAATATTGTGTTGGGACATGGAAATGTTGCTAAGACAATGTGAGATTCTGACCAGCAGGAGGTAGATCTTGCACAAAACATCAACACACTTGGAGACCGTTCAATTGCAATCATTGGGCACAAGTTTAATGGTTTGCGAAGGCACAGAGATGTTGCCTAAACTCTAAAAGATGTGGGCAGGAAACTATGTTAGAGATGGGGGAAGTGAGGAAGAATAGATGGTTTTAATTAGCCACTTTGTTAACAGTGAATGATAAGTATTAGTATAAATATTAGATTCTTTTTGTGTGTCGAGTTTTTTCTGTCACGGTATGAACGGTCTCTCAAAAAAATATTCATTCTTCTTTCTTAATATCTTTAATGTTGATGTCATGACCTTTTATCACACTATGTTCGGTTAAAGATTTGTCCAGATAATCCTTTGGTGCTCTGGTAAACATGTTTTAACCTGCCTCTTAATTTGCTCTACACAAGGTAAATGACAATCTTCGCAGTTATCCCCTATCTTTCCTCTTCCCCAACTGTATGTCATGTTGCTTTGTCATAGCAACATTTGTATGCCAGTCCCAGAATGTGATATCAAAAAATGAAGCAAGAGGTGAGCCACTGATTGTCGTAAAGCAAACTCAAAAAGTAGTATTTTTGTAATTAAAAAAATTCTTTCAAAAATACTTTTGTTTGTGTAATTTACAGCAATTTTGCCTGAAGATGGGAGTATCTAATTCCAAAAATGTCACAGTAATGTAGCAGATTTTTATCCAACTTTTTAATAAATTGTTAGTAATGTGAACTTCTTTGGACGTTCTGTGTTTTTAATGTTTTATAAATTGTCCATCATTAAACCAAAGGGCTAAAATCTAAATTTAATAAAAATGTCTAATTTACTAATATTATTAATATTTTCAATTAACCACGGTCTTCCTTTCTAGAGTTGTATGACAGGAATCTGTGTTTTTTCTTCTTGCTAAGTTTTAGCTAAGTACTCTATGATCTTAATGTAAAATGTTTTGTGATGGCAAATTGTAAAATTGTCTCTCTGTCAGTCTCTCTTAAAGGAGTGTATTCATTTTAAAACTTCCCTTGAATGATATTGTTCAATGTTTTCCAGATTCCTTTGTAGTCTCTTAATCTACGTGATATTTTCACTAGTGTTATTCTGGAATTATAAACCATACTACAGGGAAGAATTGAAAATATTTATATATTGTACATAATAATTATTGTTTGATTTGTAGTTATTAAAGTCATGTTTGTAAAATTTGTAACTAGTGATATAAAGATGGTATATTCTTAGAAGTTTAAATATGTTATTATATGTCTTACATGTGTAGTACGGGTTTTGCTGTGGTACTAACTTTCCTATGCTAGATCCTAAACTGCATTGAACAAGCCTAAATTAATTACTTACATCTGCTTATGGTGCATTCTTGTATTGCATTCTTTTAACTAAAATAGATAAACACAAGGCCTAGTAGAAATTGTCCTCTCTGTAAAATACGGCCCTTTGGAGTATTTATTTTGAAGTCTGTACATAATACTGATTTGAAGTGTATTAATTAAATGTGAATAGATAAAGCATTGATGGATCAAATTGTTCAAATAATCCTTGTGAAAAATGCAATTCTTATTGAGTGTTGATATGTATAAAAACATTGTTTTAAGAAGGGAAGTCTTTTTCTTTTCATTGTGTTTTTGCATTGATTTTCTAAAATGGTATGGATTTGGATGTTCTGTGGAAAAGAATACACAGAACTTAAAGTGTAGGTAAAGCAAGATTAAATGAGCATAACCATTGGCATCTTCAGAGGCAAAAGTGAACTCCAAATAATTTTGAAAGAGATTTTGGAATATCTTTTCTTTTTAATAAATATGATTAAATAAACGGATATTAATTGACTCTTTTCATATGACTCTTTTTAGTAATTTTGTACTTTGATATAAATAAAGAATAATTGATTTTGTTGTGAAAATCTCTTCATGATCTAATTTTAGCCGTATTTGATGTCTTTGGAAACATTTTAATTGTTACAAAGTTTTTTTATGATTCTTTTTCATGTGTTTCAGTATTATTTTTATATTTGAATATTTGTACTTCAAATAGAGGTTTTGTATTGAATTTGTTCTCTTGCATTGTCTCAAGATCATAAAACTGAAAATTTCAATATTTCTTGGAAGTAAAGCCTAACAAATCATATTCTGCCTTCAATAATTTTGCTGACAAACAACATAAAATAATTAAGATAATTTTCCTCTTTCCTTTTTCTTCTTTTTGACTTTACAATGCTTAATAGTCTTGCTCTTTATATTTCTAGAGATTTTCTTTGAATTCTAAAACATTTGCTACCAAAGAAATCTCTGATTCGAACTCATGGATAATTCGATCAAACTTAAAGTTACAAAATGAAAATAATATTTTTCATTTGTCTACTTAACCCTGTTTTTACAACAAAAATGGAGGAAAGTGTGTATGTAGTAATATATTCCGATAATTGCTTTTTAAAAAATATTAACAAACATATGGGGTGTGTTTGCAATAGATGATACATTTATGAATTAATAATCTGGAAAAATCCATTTTAAATGCTAATCAGACATAAAAGAAATGAAATGATGCATGGATCAAAACTGTTAATTGTATGATTCGGCAGAGGTGTGTTCATTCATACTGATGAAATGATGTTCATTCGTTCTGATGAAAGTACTGTAAATGTCTGACTCATTGAATGTTTTTTAATTTCAAATAATAATCGGAATTCTACAGTCACAAAATCTATCCAGGAACCTTTTTAACAGATCTTCATGTGCCAATAGATATCTTGATTTACAAATCTATGGTAAACACAACTTGAAATAGAATTAGGTTTTTCATATTCCATGTATGGATATAATTTCCTAAGAATTGTAAATTCTAGTTAGTCAGCCAAAAATGGTAATGCATTACAGTGTATAATATTGTAAGTAAATACTCGTTATAGTATTTTGAATTGGTTAATTTCTTTTTGTTTCTAGATTTTTGTCTATGGTTTCTGTAAATTTTATACCATACAGTTATTAGCTTGGCCTTCACAAATTTAATAGCACAAAGCTGAAAAAGTTGGTTTAATTATAAAAAAAATTTTAATTGTATTTTCATATTTTAACAAGTCTGTTTGTGCATGTTTGAACTTTTTTCAATCTTTGTATAAAACCATGAGTGACCTTGTACATGTGGTGATTAAAGGATGTTTGTGATCAATGACTTCTTGTGTGTTTTGTTACTTCTTTAAGTTAATAGATTGTAAATTTACATTTTGATGATATAAGGATCATGAAATTTATTTATAAACGAACATGTTTTTGATTGTGCTTGAATACCTTAAATTTTAAATAAAATCCTTTTTATTTACAATTTGAAAGGAAACATCAAGACTTACATTTGTTTAAATGGTGGTATATTCCATACAATTATTTAGGATAAAAATTAAACTACAAACTACAACTTTTGAGTCTCGAAACACTTACACTCTATTATTTATCTTCAGTTTCAAGTTTTGTAATAGATAATTACTAATTGCAATACTATTATTCAGAATATTGTTAAAAATGGGAAAAAGAACAACCTAAAATGTTTCAATAAACTGAAATTCTATATGACATATGTCTTTTATCTTCTTCAAATAAAAGTTCTTATATTTCAAACATAAAGAACAATTGAAAAATATGTGAAAGGAAACTAGAGCAAAATTATACAGTAAAACTTGCTCAATGCGGAACAGGAATAATGTGGAAATCTCTCTAAAGTGAACATAAATCGTGGTCCTGACAAACATAAGTTCTATAGTATTACATTGCAAAACAAGAAATCTTGTCTAACTTGGCAAAAAATACTGGTCCCTCGAGATTTACGTTTGGGCAATTTAAACTGTAGTAACTTCATTATCTGCGCATGTCTTGTAGACAGGGGCACCCAAAGAAAACCAGGGGTCTGGGGGTGTTGATCCACTAGGGCCCATCATTCCAAACAAAAAATTCCCTCCTCCCTCAATTCATAAACAGAATTCATTCCTCCACGGATCAGAAATAAATTATAATGTTAAATTGGGATTACAAATGAATACATTTTTTATTTCTTTTGAATGAAAAAAAATTCAGGGCCTGAGACAAGTTGCCTCTGTTTTGTTCACTTCTGCTCCTAGAGTTCAGTGAAAACTATAGTTTTTCAAATTATCTTTTTCCATGTTCTCCCGGCAGTAAGTCGATTCCTTCACACATCTGATTTTGCTTTGTAAATAGTTTGTATTACAGGGGAGCAAAAATTTGATTAACAATTCTAACCAAAAACGCTCATTTCTATTTGTATTTGGAAACTTGTATATGGGTTAAGGTAGGGATCACAGATTTTAAGGCAAGTTGCATAGACTACATTTCTTCCAGTGGTACGTTACATACAGTTATTAACCGTTTTTGGCGTTAAATATATAAACAAAAAACAGTTGCACCTTGGACCTTTGCTTATTTGATATGCAATGTAAAAATGTTTGAAAAGATGGTTACAACTTCTATTATGCACAGGCAACTTCAGGTTCTCTGTTTACTTATTGTAAGACGTAATTCTTAATAAGACTTACCAAAAAACTATCCTAAACAAACAAAACAAGGAGTCATTTCAGCATTTGCTCAAAGGATCAGGAAAACAGGATGAAAAACCTGATTGAGATGGGGTTAATTGACCCAGAAACTGAGGTACAATATGTACTTATTATGAACGGTTGCACTTCACTGACTTTATTAAGAACCACGAAGGTCTTTCTTTGCGTATGAAAAAGAATATGATGAATAGACGGTGGTCCCAGAAGGTTTCTACTGCGGAGCCGATTCTTTTGTTACACGGGCATCGTCTTGTCGTAAGTGAAGAGTTCCAAAAATGAAATCTTCATATATATATATATATATATATATATCTGTGTGTGTGTGTGTGCGTGCGTGCGTGCGTGCGTGCGAGTGTGAGTGTGAGTGTGAGTGTGAGATTACAAATATGCAAAAAAATATTTCTCACATTATTCGAAAGTTTCTTTGTTTTGTTTGTTCATTGCCTTTCCTTCCCACTCTCCGTGACAGGAAACGTAATATGAATGCTGTCAAAATGGAAAAATGTGCTACTATTCTGCATTTTGTGATACGATATGTATTATGGTCCAGGTAAAAAACTGTTGGTACGATTTCCGAATTTGAATTGTAGCGCCATAAACTGGTGACATAATCGAGAAGTTATGTGAAACTTGTAGTTCATGAATGTACCAATAGAGAACGTGGATTCTTACGTCTGAACGGTCCTGAAGTGCCAGCCGCCACCCGTGACAAGTGACCAAGTGACGTCAACATACACAGTGAGGGCGCGGAGGGAGGGAATATAGGGTCGTCATCCGCCGTCACCTGGTCGTCACCATTGTCGCGATTTGAAATTTAATCAGAGTGATGTTAACGAACTTGCCATGATCGCTGGTGACAGCTCTTATTTGCACAAGAAAATAGCTGTCCCCGAAATACATAATTTTGCTACGTAAATCTTGTCTGTGTGTTTTGCTTTTGTGGGGAGTGTTCCTAGTGGCATTTGCGTATTATTAGTTATTTTTTCAAACCAGTGTACCGTACACATTTTCAACTATGAGTCATTTTCATATTATGTGGTCGGAAGAACGTCTTCGGGGAGAAAACAACGAAGTAAAATGACGAAACTGTATCTCCTCCCTCGAGCAAACGAAAATATTTTGCTGTTGAATTTTTAATATCGGTTCTCCTCCATTTCATTAATTTCCTCAATTTTTTTGTAAAAATGGCAACAGAAGGCGAACAACAAGGGGAGAAGAGGAAGCCATCTCCAGTTTTGTCTATGTACCAGATGTTAAAAGACCTGTGTCAAAACAATGCTGAACATTTTCGTGGAGATGACACAGAAAACGGTCAAAGACTTCATGCAGGATTCCTGGCTATAATTGATCATGTGAATACAGTGACACCTTTGGTAGAAGAGATTAGGTCCATAGCTCCTTATTTTGATTTTGATGAGACGACTCCTGGAAATGGTTACCGAAGCTTTGTTGTTGTCGTTGACAAGTGTATACAGCATGGTATCAAATTGTGCCGACAAGTAATTGATGGGAGAGATTCTTTCCTTTTCCGCAAAGGTACTTACATGAGGTATGTATGTCCATATGGTTCTTGTTCAGAAGAAGGGGTGTGACATTCATTGCTTATAACATAATGTTATTCTTAACTAAACAGTTATGAAATATCCTTAGCATCTTAATGAATTTGAGTAGCTAAGTTTCTCATACTTTTCCTAATATCTTAGGTGGTTTTGCTGATGTTTAGTAGACCAGTTTGTGCCAAAATTAACCACATATCTTCAGGTACACTTTGTGTTAACATTCTGCTTACTGCATCTAGAAATGAATATGAACATATTAAGTTTAATTAAATCTTTTAAGATTGTTTGTTCAATTTTCCATCAGTTTGAATATTCCAAAAATTTTACCTCCACCCAGTTTATATAAAAAAATTTCTGATTATTTTTAAGTCATAAATGTCTAATACTATGGTTGTCAATTGTGAAGTATCAATAATAAATTGTTTTGGACTTGTTTCTAATATTAGTGCCCTAACAAATCAACTTGGTCTTATTTATGATATATTCATGTTTATTGAATCAATTAATTATATTTCACCATTTTTCACCCTAAAACTTTTTGTGAAAAAAAGTTTGCACAAAACTCCAAAAGTATTTTGGAGGGAGAAAAAATGGAGTTCTTTGGACCCTTACAAAACAAGAGACCACCCATAAGATATTCAAAACCTTTTTCTATTAAATTTGTTTTGAACTATGGTCTCTTTATTTTCCTTCTCGTTTTGCCTGTGTTGTTTCATTTCTCCAGCTTCGTATTTTTCTACACCCTGCATCTTCATCATCATTACTCACACATCATCCTGATAATATGTAGAATTATCTTCGCCATCATCCTCGTCAAACCTCAGCATTACACTTGCTGGGGAGACTTACACTGACTCTGTGTGGAACATCAGTAATGTGTAGTCTCTTTGCATTTGGTTTCATGCAGTCAATTTATTTTCTTTATTTAGTACAGTCTGTTCAGTAATGACTGGGTTTTTATCACAATCATTGCAAATACTTCTAACTAGTATCTGCAAAAACACTTCAAAACCATTATAGAAAGTGATTACTATAATAATACAATTTAATAATATTCAAATAAATAGTTCCTTCATTGCGTATATGGTAATCCAAAAATTAAGACCAAACTTATTAATTGAACAAATAATACATTTATATTAACTAGAAAATAAGTCATGTCATGCTTTCTACAACAGTATAGATGTCATCCATCACTCTTTAGAGATTGACATTCTTTGATTGGTCCTAGAAAGAGTGGCAATGGTGGAAATTCTTCACCTGTGCTTCCCATGTACGTGGTCCAATCTGAGCCCCTTTGGTTCAGAATATTGTCGCCATGCCATATCTCTGTTTGTGCTCAGCTGGAAGCCAAATATTCCTCCAAAAGCTCTTTAAACCTTGTCCAAGAGTCTGTACTTCTGATTGTGTACAGTAACACAAATACCTTGGATTAATGATTATTGGAGAAAATTTTCACCTACAGAGATGTGTCCACCAGAGCTGAGGGCATGAATCGCCTGGAGGGCATGTTTTTAGTTTTATTTGTAGCATAGGGTCACGTCCAGACTGTCATGAATCTCCTCTAAACTTAAATTCTTCCTAACCACTACAGTGTGCTCTAAGCTTTTGTGTGCATTGCGAAACTGGCTCCCTTATCCTGTTAAAGGGTACAAACCATTGAGATGGCCGGGCTTCCTCAGGCGACATTTGTTGGTTCACTTTAACGATGGTCTCAAGGCTCACCAAGGTTTGGGAAGTAATGTTGGTTCTTCTTTGGATAGTAGTGGTGCGATAGAAGGAACCTTGTTGTTGTTTGTTTTTTTCCATTCAAATGGAAATTAATAGGTTTGTACCTAATTCTAATTAACTGCCATAAGACATCCTGTAGCATGGAGAAATGAATTCTGTTAATATATTGGGTCTACTGCCCCCAGGCCTTTTGCTTTCTCTGTCCCCCCCCCCTCCCCTGTTTGGTAGGTCTAAACAGGGGGTAATTTGATTCTGCAGAGGTCCAGAAGCTCTCAGGCACTAAAAAATGGCATCTGAGAGGGGAATCAATAAAAGGAAATGGAGTTCCAGCTATAAATAAGGATCAAGCCTGTCGAAATATAATAAGTTTGAAGTTAAGGAAGATTATTCATGTTTTGACACAACTGTTTCAAAATGTATTGACTAACAGCATGTTTATTTTATTTCATTGTGACATTTGAGGAATGCCAATGATTGCTCTTTGTCTTGAAGAGGGGAAATAAAACCAAACCTGTGAATTACATTAATTATTTGATATTCTCTTTGATCTACTATTGTTAATTTTGAATATAAATAAGTGATACAACCTCCCTTAGAGTAAAATAGTTTGTTAAAAAGAATAATGGAAGAAATTATGTTTATGTGAGTTATAGAGTTTTTAATTTACTTACTATTTACTTGAAATGCTTAAACATTAATAATATTTTAAACAAAAAAACTTGTATGAAACTGATTAATTAATTTAAATGTTGATGCTGTTGAAACGGTCATTAGCTAACCCCCCGGGGTGACACTTCACTTCTTAATTTTTTTTTTTTTCATTCTTATTTTTATACATTTCTGTTTGTTTTCTACTATATTATTACTTCATTATTAATGTATTATGATTGTGATATTTTCTTTTGTTCATTTATATTTTGGTTTTCTATTGTATTATTTCTTCATTATTAATGTATAATTATTGTAATCAGCAAGTTCACGCACAAGCATAACCTCAGCAACGAGATTATGAATATATGTATATTTTGTATCCACATTTTAGAACCCCAATAAACATTCTGTAATGTAATGATAGTACAACTACAATGACTACCACTGCCACTACTTCTATTACAACTATAACAAACTTTTTTAGAGAGGTGGAAGCATGCAGTCATGTCCTGGCGTCCTTGGGCACCTGCATGCTACATCTGAAGACGCTGCTGGCATGGAGCCGCATGGGGGAGTTGTTTCCGTCTGGAGAGCATTCGTCGGAGGAACTACTGAAACAGGCAGAGAGCATCAACATGTACTGCTTTTATGGTCGTTGCCTGGGCTTTCAGGTAAACGTTTTGCTTCCGTTTCCAGGCACATTTATTCAATTTATTTTTGTTTGTTTTACGTCAAAAACAACTCCAAGGGCCCCTTCCCACGGCGCGGCCGCAGCGCGCTTCGCATCAGAGCATTGGTTTGAATGGACGCCTTCCCACGTGCAGCGGGTGCGGTGCTGCGCAGCCGACGCGAACTCCAGCTACGCGAAGCGGAGGAGGGGCCACGCGCCACTGCTAACAGAACGCAGCTTTAGGCGGCTTCCCACGGCGCGGCCGCGCGGCGCTTCCTTCAAGGAGCAGAGCTTTCCGACGCAGCCACCGCCGCCCGCGCCGTCGGGAAGGGGGGGGTCTGGAGGGTAGGTCGCCGCACCGCCGCCCGACGACGAACAAAGGGACCGAGCAGTAGAACGCTGCGGCGCGGCGCAGTGGAACGCTCCCATTTAAAGCTGCGTTCTGCTAGGGTGGCGCGTGCCCTCCTCCGCTTCGCGTAGCTGGAGTTGGCGTCGCTGCCGCAGCAGCCGCCCGCTGCACGTGGGAAGGCTCCATTCAAACCAATGCTCTGCTACGCGCCGCGCTGATGCGAAGCGCGCCGTGGAAGGGGCCCTTAGAACCGACGCCGAACTCCAGCTACGCAAAGCGGAGGAGGGGCCACGCGCCACCGCTAGCAGAACAGCTTTAAAATGGGAGCGTTCCCACTGCGCCGCGCCGCTGCGTTCTATCTGCTGGGTCCCTTTTGTTCGTCGTCGGCGGAGGGCCGGCGAAACCTACCCCTCCAGACCCCACCCCCTTCCACGCCGGGCGGCGGCGGTGGTGGCGGCGTCGGAAGAGCGCTGCTTCTTGAAGGAAGCGCGCTGCGGTCGCGCCGTGGGAAGCCGGTCTAAAAGCTGTGTGTGACGTGCTATGGGGAGAAGTGAATCCTGGGCGTGTTTTCATAATTCTGTGACCCCTACCCTAAGACATAAACCTGTTGAATCCTGAGTACAGAAAGAAATTGGCGATTTCGGCGAGAATTGTTAACAAAATACTTGCTCCAATGTAATAAAATCTATTTTTCGCCACATCTTAATGTGATTATGCGGTACGTAAATTCTCAAGACACGTTCCTGCCTTGGGACATCTGTCATATCCTGTGAGACGTGAAGCATTCCATCTGTCAACTGTTAATGAACAAATTTTGCAGGGAGATCTCATTGAAACACATCAAATACTAAACAGTCTCTACAACTGCCCGGGTTTTTATGTTTTCCTCTACACTAATAACTTCCACCTTTGCGGTAACAATTACGAATTGAACAAAATCAATTTTAACGCAATCCTTATAATACTCTAGAAATTGCTAAATGGACCCTGATAATGCTTGAGACCACATTTTCTCACTAATGCATATAATTTGAGCTTCTGTATTATACTTACACTGTAGTGTCACTATCTTGCCCTGTGTAAACTTGAGAATCGTTGCACTTGCTGTGTCCAATATAGAATTTATGAATGGTTGATCAAGAATAACATGGTATAGTTCAACCACTTCCGAAGGGGAGCTCAGGTGAACTCAAGGTTCGCCTGCAGTGATAACTGATTTTTTTCTTGCAACTTCATTCTCACGCTTGAACATTCTGGCATTCGGGACGTCTGTCAATGCCAGACTGTCTTCTCCCTGCACGCCCAGACTGAGGCGGTGGTGGCTCCTCAAGGCGCGGGAATTAAGCCTCTAAGAAACCTTCCTCTTTGCCACTTTTCATGAATACACAGTCCAGTTGTTTTTTTCTAAGTGGTCAAGCTATAACTTGACAAATCCTGATTTTTTTTTGAGAAGTGTGTGAGTTTCAGTTGAGGAGGAAGACTGCCATTGTAGTGTATTTTTATCTGATCATTCTCTTTTAGTGTTGCAATAGTATTTACCTGTATTTTTTCTTCTTTTTCTAGTTCTGTGAATCAATGCAGACCGTATTAAAAACTATATCCATCTGCATGGCATCCTTCAGTGAAATTTATTATGGTAATGGAGGAATATTCTCAAAGGCAACTAATTCAGTTTGGACTGGTGAGTATTTTTTTTCAACAATTTGTAAGGTTTTGGTTTACACTTTCTGTTGTTAAAAATTGTGATTGAAAAGAGTGACTATATTTATAAAATTCATTCTACAAATTAATTTACAAATAATAAATGAATTATCATGTAGAATGTCTTTTACCATATTGTAATATTAAACTTTTGAAAAATGTGTGAAGAAAATGATTTCAGATGAAGTCGTGAACGGTTTTGGAGATCCGTACAAAATTTGTTGTAACTGAATGAAGCAGGTTTATCATTTCAAGCCCTAATGTGTCCATTTAATAATCCATTTATTGTCCAATTTTTAGAATTATTTTTGTTTGTATTAAATTAGAATGATGGCACTAGTAGTTATCATGCTTATCACTTGTTGTATTTACTCAGTTCTGGTGAAACTCTCTTTCCCATATTGTGATATGATATAATATAATTAGATGCCTTTTTTGGATGAAACTCATTTTATTGGTGAGAATTTGCATTTTGTTTCTTATATTATTAAGCATGAAGTGCTAATTCAGAGATCCTTTTTAATTTTTTTCAAATTCAATTACACCAAATACAATGCAAAATTAAGCAATTTTCCTCATTAACCTTGTGTTTAAATATTAGGTGATATTTAAATACTCTGAACATAAATTTGCCGACATTAAAAGAAATGCTAAATTCTGGATCAGTGGACCACAAAACAAAATAACAATTATAAACAGATTTTTATAGTAATTTTGCAGATATTTTTTGACTTTTCACCAGCAGTCTATTGTGACATATAATGAGATTGAATTAATCTCTTCTATGACCTTCATTCAGCATGTGAACTTGATAAGTCAGGCAGCTTTTGACCTCTGAGTAGCTGTTTTTCTTATCTTTTGGACTAGATTATTTTTGATGATTTTAAAATATTTCAGAAGCGTTATGAAAAGCTTTTTGTGAATATTCATGAGTTTTAAGAACATAACACTAGTTTCACATATTTGAATTCCTTGAATCTTGAAAATAATTCAATATGCAATGGTCTTTTTTCCCCTTTTTCTTCTACCCTTTCTATTCTTTTTTCTTCCTTATTCAAATTCTTTCAATCCTTAACTTTTAAAATTCGTGTATTCTTTCTGTTGTATTCTAACCTTTCTGATATATTACTTTTCTCGTTCTTAAATATATCATTTAAGACAACACATCATAAAATATCAAGTATTGCTTCCCCTAAAAAATATCCTTGCATCTATGTCATTCTCAATTACTTCAAGGAATATTCACACCAAATTTGCAGAAAATCAAACACTTGCGAATGTTTAACAAACAGGTAGGCAAAATTATAGTCGAGTGAAATCAGGACCCCACTTCATGTAGTCATTGTCTTCTTTTTGTTGCACAGTAGGAAACCATATGCCAATTAGTAAATTATGAAGATGAGTTATGATTAATATTGTTAAATCACAGTTAGTATAACTTTTAAATATGAAAGATTCAAAGGTATAAGATTCAAGAGATTTGAAATCCTTTTAGAATTGTTTTACAAGATTTTGGATTGTTCTCTCTTTTATTATAATTAATTTTGTTTATGAAGTCAGTTTAGGTATTTTTATTATGTTGTCATGAAAATATCCCTTTCTGTAAACTATACGAGATTCCATATTTAATAGTACATTTTTTAAACAATTTATAACTTCTAATATTTCTAATTTAATTTTATTGTTATTTTTATTTAATATTCATAAAAATCATTAATAGTAAATTAACAAATAATTCAACAACAATCATTTTTCAAAGTGTCATTCTTTAATTTTTGTAAGTAATATGTATGTGAGATTAAAGATTCAAAGCGAACGCAAGGTTGTTGCCTTGTATCATTTGCTGGGTCAGTGATCTGCAAGATAAACATCATAAGCGTGGACCTTGTCTTGTGACTGACTCATTTTTCCCCGTGCCTTTTCGACACAGACAAGATTAGAAAAGATTTCTCGAAACAGAGCAGAATAATAAGTAATCTGGCACAAGTATACAACAGGCCAATGAACTTTGGACCTGGATAGGTTTTTTGCTATAGCATGGAAAAGATAATCAGATTTTTTTTATTATTGTATAAACAATTTAATTTTTTGACACTAATCACTGCTATTTTTTGTATGCTATAAGATTCTTTTATGTTTCTTATATATTTCTTTTATGTAATTCCATATTTTACAATTGTTAAAATGTGAAGAGCTTGTGCTCCTGTACCAAATTATGACTTTCTTGTCAGCCTCTGAAAATCCTACCCAAAAATGACAGTGTATTTAGTTTTTGTTGTATCTTTTTTTTAAAATAATTTCAGATCAATTTGTTAAAAAAATGTTTTATCTATACAACTATAACTAATTGAAGCCCCCCACCCTAAAAAAGCCAAACCCAAACCCATTTAAAAAAGACTATTGAATAACAAAGCTTAGGCCTGCAATTATATAATAATTTCTTTTAGATCATTCTGATTATGAGTGCTGGAGTGATTGTTTTTGAGATGATAGGTATTCTAATTTTACTTGGTGTACATCCGCTCAATGTGTAACCAACTGAACACTTCAAACATGAGATGTAAGAAATATTAGAAAAAATATATGTAAAAAATTAAGAAATGTTATTAATATGTCTTCATTTGTGTGACTTTGCAGGTGGCAAGTATCTTTTAGACCCAGAACTTAGAGCCAGAAGAATAGTTAACATATCTCAGCATGCTCAAGTTGATTTCTGCAAGTCATTTTGGCTCTTGGCTGAGTCTGGTGAGTTTTTAAATTCCTACATTGTAATTGCAACTCATAAAGAAAAGCCTGGTATTTGTTTTGAATAGACAGGAATTGGCTGTTTCTTGAGCAAAACTAGTGGTGCTACAACAGTACACACTTTCTCATATTTGTAACTTTTTCAAGTTTCGAAAATGTGTAAACTTAAACAAAAATTAAACCTGTGCTGTTTTTTAAGCTTCCTTTTCTCTATCTGAAGAAAAAATTTGGAGCAGTTTTTGAGGGAACATTTTTTTTATAAATTGCTTTTATTTTGAGAAAAAAATGCATGAAAACTACTTCAATTTTAATGAAATTATCCATGATCATATTTAGAACGAATTTTTTTAATCCAATTTCATTGACGAAAAAATATCTATCATTAATATTGTAGTTTTGCAAAGTGTTTGTTTGTTTGTTGGTGGTGTTTTTTTCTCTCTCTTTTTTTTTCCAATTTTCAATTTTCAAAAAAATAGAGTTTATCGAAACCTAGACCAGCATATTTCTGTAAGCAAACTTTGCTGTGTTAGAGAAAAATTCTTGAGCTGTTTTTGAGAATATAATTGTTTAAAAATTGCTAATCCAGTTTTTTTCAGCATTACAATACTTCCACTATTTTACATAAGTAGTATGTGAGAGAGTAAAAAAACTGCTGACACATAAGTTATAGATTTTAATAATTATTCCCTATTCCTTATATATTTTATAAGGCAAATATTGTACACTTTTTTCTGCAGAAGCAAGTATATTTTGCAGATTTTGAAATTCAGTATGTTAGAAATTCAATTTTCATTCCATTCATTTATTACTTAATAAATAAAGATATAATCAGAAGTATGAAGAACATATCATTCAGCAATTTACTTTACAATGTAGTATATGATTTCCTGAGTGACTTCTGAATAATATCTGGCAGAACTTATTTAATATATCGTTAGGTGGTTGAATTTAACATCAAATTACTTCATGTTAATTAGTTGTTTATAAGTTTGTGAATTATTGTAAGAACGAGCGAAAATTGACAACTATTATGTACAGTTCAGCCAAGTTTCCTGTAACAATCATAAGTACTTCAATCCATTGAAGTTGTATTTTTCAAATCTCTTCAATGAAGTGAGAAAATTTATTTCTCCTTTTATTCTTTTTCCAGTTGTCCTAAAACCACCTGGATTTTAAGTTTTCTTTTGAGAATGTCAGGTAGTCAGAAACAATGTACAACACTTATCTGTCCTTATCTGAGCCAGATGTGGCATGTGGTTCACACATAGTTGACACAGCTGCACTCTTGAACAAATCCAGCTTTGTGTGTCTTGCTACCCAAAGATGTTTGACGATGATAGTAAATTCCACCATATGGTCACAGTGATTGTAAGGCAGAGCATTGTTGACGCAGGAAGCAAACAAGGAGCTTTTTTTGGTTAGTGTTTAATAAATGCTAGACATGCCTTGTACCTTTGTTCCCCTTTATCAGATCAAACACTTCATCAAAAATTTTAAGTGAAATCTCAATAGCATGTTTTTCAAGAGGCCAAAAATGTTTAACATTATAAGGAAGGAAAATGAGGTGTTGCCAATCACTCAATTTGTCATTTTCACATTTCCTTCTTCCTAATTCTATATTATTGAATATCAACTAATTGACGTGAATATAACACACACATTCTTGTGATTAATTCATTGCAAATGATAACTAAATATAGAACAGAAATTCACACAAATGGTACACAAACAAAAAATAATACATTATAAAACAACTTCCACAGTTCTTCAGTCTATCAAATTCAAAGAAATGTGACCAGCTGATATGACTCAGGGCAACAGCTGTTGCTCTACAAAAGTAAATTTTGCATTCAAAGCTTTGGGGAAAAACTCATGCATGCTTTTAAATATATTGTAGAATTTCAACTTCACTTTTTTGCAATTTTTCTTATTGTAAGTAATTGTTTTTGGATCCTTATTTTAAGTAATTTTAGAGGTAATTTTCCTCTCATTTTAAGTAATTTTAGAGGTCATTTTCAACAAGTTTTTAGGTCATAAGAATCCAAGCCCTGCTCATTACTTTCCCCCTGAACACCTTCCATCAAATTGTGCTTTTAGTAGTTGGTTACGGATCTGGTTATTTCCATTTACTTTATGTGCCCTTTTCATCCTGGCTTCATTAAACTAGCCACGGTAGGGACTGCATTTTTTTTTTATTATTGTTATTATTATATGTCTTTAAATCTTAATAAAGGTAATATTTGAATATAAGAGCCATAATTTTGAAGAGTTTTCATTATTTTTTAATTAGAAGATTTGAGAAGATTAAATATTTTTGCCTAATCTATTGACATCTTTCTTTCTGGTCCCCCTCCCACACTAAATCGTCCTCCAACTTTCTGGCACCTCCTCTCCCTTTAAAAGTTTTGTGTTTTGTTTTTGTCTTCTTTGTTTTCAATCTGGTGTCATCTTAGAATGTTTCCCTCTGCTATCACATTTTCTTCCTGTTGTTGTGCACTTGTCTGTGACCTCAGCTTCCTTAACAGTCATTTAATTCCTGTGATTGAGTTGTGAATTGCAAACTTCAAAATCCATATGCATCCATCTGCAGGTGACATAGGGCAGGGTGATATTGCTCTTGATTTGAGGTTCTATCTTTATCAGCAGGTGCTAAATCTGCTGAGGGTGACATGAATATAATTAGATTCACACAGCCTTTGCAGCTTATTGATACATCAGCGTTCAAGTTATTGTGACGTAGAGAGGCAGTGTTAAAACTGATTATAACTGAGCAGGCTTACTTTGCAGATATAAGATGACTCATATTTTTTTGTGTGAAATGTTGAGGAAAACACCTTTTCTTATATCCTCATAAAGACAGCATGGTATATACTGTGGAGCTATTTGCAGTTTTATGTATACACTATAGATCTCTTTACTTGTCTTCGTCTCTTACTCTCTATGTCCATCATTGTGCAATAATACATCTTAAAAGTTCACTTTCGAATAGATCCATGACATTGGATAATGATATTGTCTGCATTTTCACATTGCGTATTTGTCAAGCAGGTCTGACATGTTTTGGGATTCTTGTTCAGAATTTGAAGGTTTATTTGTTTGTTGAATAGTCATTTATTAAACAGGCAATTGCCCAAAATATTAAAGATCACATTCAATACAATTTCTTAACAAAATCATTCAGTACAGAATTCTTCATAAAATTCTCACAACCAGAGTTTTGATACATGCTTATGTTCAAATCTTTTGCACATAATTATGTTTCTGATTGGGCACATAATAAGAGTGGTTTATCCTTGCTAGTGGTGGTTGAAAAATAACTTGGATTCTGTTATTTTAAATTGTTGAATATGTCTCAAATGCATGCTTTAATGAGTTTGAGTATTTGATTGCAGAGCTGATGAGCCGTCTGCCAGGAATGATCTGCCCAGCTGTCGCAGTCAACATTGTGATCCAGATCCCTCCGGAACCCCTCGAAATGGCAACGTTGGTTGGTGGGCGGATCCAGGTGCCCATCCCTTCAGCCCATATTGGACTGGGACCAGTGCCGGTACGCCTCCTGTGTGCTACCCGCCGGGAAGGAATGGTAAGTGTCTGACTAAGAGGCATCAGTGATGTAATGGTTTGCGTATCAGGCTGTTATACCGGAGTTTGCGGGTTCAAACCCGATTGATGCAATGGGTATTTTAAGGGCACAAACATTCTTTGTATGACTACCTTCAGAGGGGAAGTAAAGACAGATGTCCCATGTTGTAGATGTACTGCATGTAAAAGATCCTAAATCCTAAAAGAAGCCACTGAGATAAATGTAAATCGCCTCTCTGATCACCTGAGAGATACATTCTTTCTCTGCTGGATTGTGAAAGGAGTGTAGTGAAATTTGCATGGTCAGAAAGAAGAGCAGGTTTGGTGACCTGAGTCTCACCATGCAAAATCAGGCATTAATGAATTGAATTGAATTCTGGTGACTATATTCATTAGTGGTTTTCAAATGTATGTACTTCAAGAGTATATTCTAGTAAACAATGAATTACCAACCAGTATTTGTGTGAGAAACTGTACTAAAGTACATATTAATAAAGTCAAATTTTCAGCTACATGTCACATTCTTCAGTAAAATCTATTTACTAATTATTAACATTATCATCACATAAAACATTCTGTTTTTCTTGAAAATATTTTGGAGTAAAGAAGAATATTTTATTATTCATCTATTCTATGGAATACATATAAAATAAAAATTTAAATACTTTTGATTTTTTTGGATGTAGAGTTTCCTCTTGTTTATGAATCATTTATTTTGTGAAACGTAATAATAATAAAAGGTTTTATGTTTAAATATTCGCAATGACAGAAATGTGATTTATATTCTATAGTATTGATGAAACCAATTTGGCATGTTACTCCCGTTACATGAGTATATATATTTTTAACAGACATAGAGAGGCTACGAAAGTCAATAGAACATGCTGAAGCTTACTGAATTATCTTCAATAAATCAAATTACAAACTAATTAGTATGAGAATAAAGTATGTGAATGAAATATTGAGGAATAATACCTAATACCTGTGAT